ATTTAAGCACTGCTGCTTTTTCTCCAGGTGTGACACGATTCATCTCTCTTGCAGGCTTCCATCCACACCAGTCGGACAGGTTGCGGTGAAATCGGTGCTGCTTCAGAAAGCAGCTGGGCCAGTGGAGGCTGAGCAAGCTGTCAGAACCAGCACTGAAATGCAAATCCCTGTGGTAGACTCCTACGGTGAGCGGACAAATGTATTTGATCATAATTCACTCCAATCGTCTGCCTATATTATCTCTTCTTCATTTTATTGCTTTTAAATTTTACATACATGCTGGTCTAAAGCGCATGCACAGGTATGACATCACAAAGATCAACTGAAAGTAAAATAAAATGATGAAAAATTGCAGTTCAGCTTCATAAAAGTGCTTCCCCAAGAAGGTGACAATTATGAGAAAATAGTCAATTGGGCAGCTGAGCCTTTCGGCAGCAGTTGCACGGATGAATTTTTGTGTTTGGAACAGATGACTCGGAGCCAATAGAGAGCTACGCGCACTTTAAACTGCAGCACCGACTGTGGCAAAGAAAATTGATTTTTCTCTCCTCTGTTCTGTTGAAGAGTCACAGATTTTGCTGGGGTTTGTCCTGCGATCAGAGCTGCTGACGTTCCTGCGTCGCTGGAAGACAGAGGTGAAAAGGCTGAATGGATACAGAGAGTTCACTGAGGGTGTTTTTTTAAAAGCAGCCATTTAAAAAGCAGAGCGTGTCCGTGCAATCCATTTGACATTGACTGAATGTGAAACAGCTGGGGGAAAAAAATGATTGAAGTAGGATGTGCTGGCAGGACTGCGAGCTGATGGAAGAGCTCATTTCATGACAACTCACATCCACTTTAAAGGATTTTCCATTCACAGAAAAATACTTTTTTTTTTTTTTTTAGAGGATTACAATAAACTGTTAAAAGTAGGAAATCAGTTTTTCAAGAAAATGGAACCTACTGGTATTAATTCCAGGTCATGCTTAGCTGTGAAACTCCAAAACAATGTCTGCCCAAAATGTTGACTGTATTGTAATTACAAAATTAAATTTAAATTTTCTAGTTTCTAGTGTTGTTATGCAAGTACAACATAAAACCAATCAAGGCATTTACTTGATTTACTTGAGTTTATACCATGAATATTATTCTTAACCAATTATAATTTGAATAAATAAACATTTGATTTTGTATATTTCAGTTGCATTTTACTCCAAATTACTGATTCATGTTTATGAGCAATAGAAAACCGTGTGTGTGTGCAGAGTCCGGAGAAACATCTGGATGAAGGATGCTGCATTTACCAAACCTCCATCGTGATATCACCTCACAACACTGTTCAGGAGGTAGGGGCCCTGTGTTAAATGGAACTGGCAGCATTACCAGTCACTGATTTAAAGCAACAGTTGGCCCAACAATTGCAAGAAATCCTGTTTATCACTTTCTGAGAACTGGAGGATGATGCACACTTTCCAAAGCACAAACCGGGAGGCAGTTAGCAGAGCATAGCATAATCAGTCGGAAACAGCTAATAACTAATGAGCTGTTTTATTCACTGTTTTATTCCATTTATGCACAGACTGAAATTGAAAATAAAAGCAACTGGAGCTAGCTTAGTTTTGAAATATTTAGATATGAGTAAAACACTGATGCAGTCTGTCTCTGAAAATGGACCTACCTGGTCTCACATCTCCTGCTTCTCTTAAGTAATGAGCAAATTTTCTGAATGGATAAACTGAACTGTGTTAACTCTTTATCTGTGTCTATCTGATCCTCTCCACTAGCTCTTAGAGTGCCTCAACCATCTGCCACACTC